CCAGCTTCCCATAAGTACCTGCGCGACGCACCCGCAACGCACGCCTTCAGTGCGTCTCGTGCCTTAGCTTCTGATGGAAATCCTCCTTCCTTTCTCTTTTTTTTTTGTTTTTGGTGTACTATATTCTCTCTATTTTAGGTATAAACAATTCGCGATGACCGGTGACGAGATTATACGGGCTCTAGCAGTTCTAAGACCTTCAGTCTTGTGTAGTAGTCTTGTGTTTTCCCTTTTTTCTCTGAAAAATTGAGATTTGATTGGATACTGAGATAATATTTTTTCAAAAGCTTCTTCTATATAATAAGAGTCCCTTCCGTTTGATGTGTAAGGTGTAGACAGTATTTCAAGTCAAAATTGAGCCTTCCGAGAAGCAAGTAGGCATTTGTTTGCTAAAATATACACTTTTTTTGGAATCTTTGACCACTCAGTTTCTACGTCTACGAAGAGAAACGTTTTGAGAATGCTGTTGTTCTTCAATTTTTCTACGTATAGCTATTACAACCTATCCATCAGTGCAAGTTCGGAATATGCATCCATTGATTGAATTCGAGGTATTCATGGAACTTGCCTGCGTTTCATTCTTGCATACTTCTTTTTCGTAGGGAACCTAGAGGTTTCCACATTACATTTTTCTCCTTTGTGAGCATAAATATGCTCTACTGCTCATGAGTGAGGCAAGAGGCATTGAGAAGGGCGCCCGCTGCGTGCGCGCTGCGGAAGTACCTATGGGAACTTGGCCGGGGTCCACATTATAGAAAGAAACCTCACGATATTCAAAGAGCTTCTTTACATTGTACATTCACTAGATACAATAATTCACTGTATTATATGATTAAATAGTTTGTTTGAAACCATATCAGCCCCCCCCGTGGAAACTCGGACAAAACCTTGCTTAATCAAAAAGGTAAAGTCGCCGTGCTTCTTTTGTACTTCTGTTGTTCTCTATTGTGTCTATTTAGTCCTTCCTAGTCGATTTGTATGTGTTTATTTGGTGTCAGTGGTTTTACTATGTTTTGATTGTTTCGTGCTGGGACCACGCGATCGGGCTGCATGCACATCTTCTCGGCCGCTATATAAGGCGGCTCCGCTTGGCTCAAATCAGTCTTGTCGGTGCTACGAGGAGTGCGGTCGGATATCAATTTAGAAGCCACGCTGAGGAGACGTGGATGCCCCGATCGCCTGGAGGATCGTGTTCTTCAATAAAGGAATTGCATCATATCCCTGGACACCACGATAAACGAGCCCTCGCAATGGCGCCTACCATAGGCCAACTAATGCCTGACACAGGAGAGGCCAAGGCTCTTCTAAGTTACAAAAGGAGCTTGATTGATACCAAAGCCAAAGTCATCACGGCAAGCAGCTTGTATGCCATTTTCAACACAAAAGAATCAACTTGAGTGCTGTGCTCTATCTTGTGTCCGCAATATAACGGTACTGCTTTGTTTTGGACAGTGCTAGGAAGTGCATCATCTCTCAGACAGAAATTAAGCTAGGCAAATGTATGTAATCTAGCAAAGTATGCATTTTAAAAAGTTGGCATTGGATTTATATATCAGTCTGATACTTTCAAACATAGTTGAAAGGGTTGTCTACAGCGTAATCAAAGCAGAAAAAACATTACTATTGTCATTTGTTTGAGGACAGAATGATCATCAACTGTCCGATTATTTTCAGTCTCTTTTCCGCTTTCTAAGTTGAATTAAAGGCATCGTCCACCCAAACTGGGGTTGGTGAGTTTATGATACCCAGCAGATGCGGGGCCCCCAACTGTATGATTGCCCAACTCGCGCTGCCTGACGTTGCTTCCGAACCGAGAAAATTGCTTTGGAAATCGCTTCAGGCCGCGTTCCGACGTTGGCTCCTCCCCTTTCGGAGCGGGCGTGACGTTCGTCCCGCCCATTCGTGCGCGCCCAGCCAATCACCGTACGGAAGAAACCGCTCTGCGGGTTCTGAACAAGGGGTTTTTCGGGGTTTTCGCGGATTTTCAACCTGATATTCGAAATCAGGGGTATGAGAAAGCCCTGGAACGGCAAAAACATGGAGGTCGAAGTTTTGGGTGGACGGTGCCTTTGAGAGAAAGGAAACAGGGGCCTGCATGATCAGGAGAGTCGGACATGCGTACGGCCATTGCGCCGCGCACCTCCGATGTCACTGAGGCAGCTGCTAGACTTTTTTCTTTAACCGGCTCGTCCGGTTCACTGTTTCGCTATTAGTTAAACCAATGCGCTGACCAATAGCAGAGGTAGACAACCAAATGAACCTGTTCAAAAGGGTGAGTCTGGCAACTACCTGAGTCGTGGGACGGACATCGGACGTGCGCGGCGCAATGGCCGTACGCACGTGCGACTCTCGCAATCATGCACACCCCTACACCCTTGAAGAAGCTGTTTTTGTCGGTGTCATCTCCAGTCAAACCACCAACAGTAAATAAAAAAATTAAACTCGAGCATGCTTTGCTTTGTTTGGTTAACAGGTCCATGAGTGTTCATGAGTAAGTTTTAACGCGCCGCTTTGGATGATTTACTACAGGTTCTTAAAAAACATGTTCTCTCATTAGACATCGCGAAAACATGTTTTCGAATTCCTAACAGTAATTTGCCAGAACGCGTTATAAAGCATTTATCAGCTTGCTATTCGACGTATGCAAAGCGTGCTTGTGTTCCTTACTCAGAGAATGGATGGAAAGTTGGTGATTAAGATACTTTGCAACCATTTACAAGCAAAATGCGCCTATCTAACATCCGTAAGCAGGAAATCCGATAAAAATGACCACAATGGTTATATTTCTTTACAAAATTTTTCTTTCATACATGTCAGAGATCGTCGTGACGAACCCAGTCTCGGCCCATACTCTGACGTGCTGTATACTGGTAAAGCAGGAGCTTTAATTCTTTTCTACAAGACGCATTCAGACTTCACCAATATGTTAAATATGACGTGAGCTACAGCAGCTATTGTTCTACCTAATTGCATCGCAGTGAGGGTTACGGCAGGAATATGACTGAGGGAGAAGAACTATCGTTATAGATTTGGCTGGAACATAGCCTAGGGGATCGTCAATGTTGATCACGAAAAGTTATTTATTTGGCATGCAGGTATTTCTCCGTAAGTTTACGATAAATTCACAGATTGAAGTCTTTTGCAAAAAAGACGTTAGGAATAATGATTATGTTCACGTTTGGCAGGTCAAATACTCACTATGCAGTTTCATCAAAAATTTGTTTTTGTGAATTGTTGTTTGTTGTTGTTGTTGTTGTTTAAATTGTTGAATTGTTGTTGTTGTTGAAATTAAAATAAAAAAAATTAAAATTAAAATAAAAAAATTTGTTGTTCATTTTATAACACTAATTTACGTATTTTTTCCAGAAATACAAAACGATTTAGCAGCTCGGCTTCGGTAGGAAAGACAAGGCATGCGTGACAAAATCGGAATGGAGGAGACAAGTGCTGCACATGAAGGGGATTTGATCTTGCGGTCTTACGCGTCCATCCCATCATTACCATTCTTTTTTGATGCCATATCACATCATAACTTTTCTCATCATCACTATTCTTGCGTCCGCCTGCCGTCAGTACATGATAATACATGTGTCAGTACGATACTCCATCCACGTCATTTAGGTACTGTTGTAATCTAATTTTGGAAACATGCTAAGAAATTTTCTCACTGCCTTTCACTACCGATATACTCTATATCTGATGCTCTAACTATGCTATAAATGATGAAGGATATCTGTGTTCTGTATATTTTTAACCTAGTACTGAAATAAGGGTACAGATCGAAAGAAGCAGGGCTTACCGTTGAAAATTCTGTATAGCTACGCAAAAGTCCATTTAAACCCCTCGGGAAGTTCTGTAACTGAAGTCCTCGGAAAGTTTCCGTTTTTAGGGAAGTTCCCGAGAGCTTATTTGCAGAACTTCCCGAGGGCTTTACGGGAACTTTCCGAGGTGACCTGCGGAAAGTTCCCCTACAGCCCTCGGAAAGTTCCCGTAAATTGTCTGAGTTCTGAGATTCCGACTCCCTAGTCATTGACCGTGGCCACTCAGCGGTCCTGCGTATAGCAATTCGCTCAAGTTCGTTAGGCCGCCAGATATCAATCTTTCAACTCACAGAATTGCTCGTAAGTGCCACGCGGTTGCAAACACCAGAGAAGAGCTCAAGACAGCTTCACCTCAAACTTGAGTAAATAAACCCTTGTTGTACAGTTCTCAAAATAATACAGGAATAAGCAGATGTAGGAAAAGCGCGAATATTCACGCGATTGGTCCATCTTTTCCTGCCCCGCCTTAGGGCTATATAAAGTACGCTCCGCCGGTGTTCAGGGCTTCGCAGCTGCCTCCTTCCGAACCCCTCTGGGGGGGGGGGGGAGGCATTTACCCCATATAGCCCTGGGGCGCGGCAAGAAAAGATGGACCAGTCGCGCAGATATTCGCGCTTTTACTACAGTATAATGAACGAAAAATGAGATTTCATTGCAAAACATTACTTGAACTATGTAAAGCTTACTTGGTGCAAAAACCATTTCCTCTCATGTACCTCATGTATTTCCTCTCAGGTGTGACTACTTCGGCATCTATTTATGTGCAACTTCGGTTCGTTGTAATGGTCGAGTTTGCGAACGAGTTCATTGGTGCTTCCAACGGCGTAAGTCCTCGAATTTTGCTTTGAAAAATGTGTAGATTTTTTATGTTTCATCAAAGCTAACTTGTGCAAATTTTTAGCTTACATCATACACAGTGCCAAAATGGGTGAGACAATCGAAAAAATGAAAAGCCAAATTAATCTTACAATTAGTGTCCAACCCAATATTTCAGAATTTCCTGGTAAATGCTGGTAAATTGGTAGGAAAATTAATTTGGTAAAAAAATAAAATTAGTAAATTATAAATCAAATAAATTAGTAAATTAGAAGAAACCAAAAACGTTTTAAATTCCCTCAAGTTGTTCATCGTCGGGCGGATGACAAAATTTTTGCTGTAGTGGGAAACCAAAAACGGGTTAGAAGTATTTATAACAGTTACTTTATCACAGCATCAAAATCAAGCACAAAGAACAAATTCATGAGGACTTAGTATAAGTAAGAGTCACATCAAACTAATGAGCAAAATCACTGGACTCAAGACTGATAGATTCTTCTGGGCACTATCTCTATAAATAAACACTTTTGTACTGCATCAAAGAAAGAATGAAAACAAATAAAAACAACAATTAGCTCGTTCGACCAGATTGCATACCTCTGATTCTCTTGTACATTGTGAGCACCCTATGTACAAAGAAAGAGCAAAATTCATGGTATATTGAAGAACTGCAGGAAGACGACATGGAAGTATGGAAGAAGTGAAAATCAACAAAATAGAATCAATATGAACATTCAATCCTTTCTTTCAAAGAACAGTAAGTAGGCACCAGCTCGATCTACTTCCTCTTCGGAAACTTCCTGAGCAAATCACGAATGCCAGAACAGAAGAAGAATTTAGAAGTCAAAAAACTCACCCTGACTGAGCAATCGTTCAAAAGCAACCATTTCTCATCACCGCCTCGGGCGTACGCGACGAAATGTCCCGACGAAAGTTGTCCGTAGTGATTCTAAATCAAATGGTAGATATGCCTGCGTTCTGACAGCAGTCAAGACATTAGAAAAATAAAATTGGGACTGGCAATGATAACTGTGCAAATTTTTTTGTTAACATTTGCAAACTATGGACACTGTGATAAAGCTAAGCTTTACTCCCGCTAATCCAAGACAGGGTGATCTCAGATGCTTCTCCGTCATCGTCTTTTTGAAAATCGATTGAAGACTATTCTTCATTCCTTTAACACTAATTTATATAAGTTAATTTCCGCGATCGCTGAAAAAACACCAATCGCCTATAAAACTAAAACTTTTCCCATTTTTCCAGACTCAAGATGTAGGTAGTCAGATCTCTTGGATAAGAAATCCACTTACCGCTATGGCGATACATTCGTACTTGCTCTTTCCATTATGCCCATCAACAAATGGTGTTGGATCAAACTGTCTCAATGGGAATGTGATAACCCGCTTGCATTTTCCCATACGACCTTCTCCACGTAGGAATTCGAATCGTTTGAGATGGATAATCTGAACAACACCACAATTCTAGTATATAAGTGTAGACCTATAAGTGACAAAGAACATACCAAATATCGTGGCAATCTCCATATTGTCATCACTTTATCCCTTTTCGTCTTTTCATTGCAAGTATCACAATGTATAAGCACATCAAGAGTTTCAGGGCAGCTAAACTTTTCAAGGCAATGTTCCAAGGATGAGGGAGCAAAATGTCTTGACCACGTTTCAGCCACCGACTCATCGTCTTCGCAAGCCTAAACGGGAAAGATATATAAAAGCAATCCGGACAGCAGCATGCTATACCTACCAGCTCCTGTGAATGATTATACTTCAGGTACAATGCGATAGGTAACCAGTCAACTGCTATTCCACAATTCTCAGGGATATTAGCCTAAAATTTTAAGAAACATATAACTCTTTTTGCATCAAGACAGGCTCACCGGTGACGAATCGGGCTTGATGGCACATCCACGACAGAACCTCAGCGCCGGACATTGACCACACCATTCCCAACTTTCATCAACCAAACATAGAGAGAACGGGTAACCAAAGGAAATGTTTTCAGATCTACAAAGCTGGAGATGAAATGAGGAAGGATTTGGGAAAATACCATGGGCAAACATGCGGGCAAAATCCAAACCACTTACGGATCATGAGCACGACTTGAGATTGCCGGAGATGTTGAGTCCATAAACCTTCGCATCTATAAACACCTCTCAAAGCAAAAAAGGAACGATGGTATGACTGCGGCCGTTGTGCATATTGTTAGTTTATAAATTTTGAAAATATCCATGGTATAAAAACAAGATTGGCGAAATCTGACTAGGCTGAACATGACCAAAAGCGAAAGAATCCGACATGCCTTTATCGTTTGAAGGGCAGAAAAAACCAGCATGGGCAATGCTGTGCCTAGTTTGCAAATTACACGAAATTAATGAGCTTTAGACTATATGAGTACTAGGCTCAACTTCCGATTCTTTGTAAAGAGAGGCAAGATGAAATATGTGACCACTCAAATGTCAATACCAACAAGCAAAAAAGATGGGGCTACCATAATGAACAATCACGATCCAACAGTATTGATTTTTACTTACCTGACTCATTACATCCTCATATAACTCTTTTCCAGTGATATTCGAAGGGCAGGGTACAATAAGTGGCAGACCGAATTGCGACACAACAAATCCACCCGTAGAACCGAGAAAATATGGCTCATAGTTGTATTGCTGGAAAGTTCTGATTTATTTATTTATGACATTATCATCCGTTGACTCACCAGTTTCCTATGAATGGCTACTCTCCATTCTGGAGTGTCTTCAGGTAGATGAAGGGCATATAGTCGAGCACCAGAGGGTACAGAACTTAGCAGAGTGTCATCGTCAGTGCTCGAGGATTTCTGGATCGGTAGAGTCATAACTGTTACCTGTGTGATAATTTCTTACCATGAAATAACCCCTCTTGCTTAGGCACTGAATCGTGAGGGCATCTTTGTGCACGCCACTAGCTTCAGCGATAAGACCTTTGAATGTCCCTATGGTGCATTCTCTGGGTAAACGGAAGCCATATCGTCGTGGTACGCTGCCATCACGGCGAACAACTAAGAAAAATGCACGCTACAAGTTGTGATAGGAAGATATGCTTACCTATGATCTGATAAAGTTCGACATTCTCAAAACCAATAGGAAGACTAAGGGAAGTAAAGGCTTCAAAAACCGAAGATGAGGACTTGCATTTGCGACAGATCAATCGGGAACGTAGTTGGCCTGCAATGAAGAGCGCGGAACTTTGATTGGGATTCATATTTAACAGTCCACAAAATCAAGACTTTGAAATAAACCGCGTATTCTAAAGGAATAAAAAACACCCAGATTCAAGATTTTGAAGAGCTGTACAAAGCAAGATGTGCAGTAAACGAAAATGAGTCGAGAACAAACCTGAGAAAAGCGACGTCACCAAAGAATTGTTGTCTCGAATGTACTGATTCCATGCCTAAATCACTGGTACTCAGAGCAAAAATATGTAAGCCAAAATTGCAAACTTTTTGCGCACCTTTTCTCCCTTTTCCTCATCTGACATGTTCTCGTCGCTTGTCTCCTCATCTCCAGCTGTAGTAGACGTAGCTCTGCTCGATCCAGCATCAGTATCCGTTTCTTCGCTCTCATGATTCGCTAATTTTTCATGTTCTATCTTAGCTACACAAGTGTGGAATCGTTCGATCAAAAAAGAAACAAATTCTTGGCAGTCGTGTTGTTCACCATCATCAAACTGATCCGCTGATCGGACCGCATCCTGAAGTGAAACGAGGAAAAAAAACCTTCCGGAACAACAGCACAAGTAAACGAGGAGAGAAAGGCCTGGAGGTATCACTCACATTAAAGCTATTCGGTGAGATGTTCTTTTTCTTCGCGGCCCACATCTCTTTTAACAACTTTGAGTATTCTAGAGTTGTTGTAAAGGAGTCGTTATTGTTGGCGTCACCTCTGAAATTTACAGATGAAATTGATGCAACCATAAGAAAACTGATCACAAATTAAGTGGAGAAAAATCATATTTACCGCCTGAGAAAAAAAAGTTAGAGGCTTTCAACCGCCCAGAAACATTTACGCTATTCCATTCCTCCATTTCACGCACCTTTTTAACAGATTCATCCTATTTTCGTCAAGCAAATACTCGGTCAACGGAGAAACCCTAGCAAGACATTGTATAGCCGCATTTCTATAGCAGAAATTGCCTGAGTTCACCAAACCAACAGCTCCAGGTCGACCTAAACAAACTCAGTCTCGAACGTTCACAGATAAAATGTAGGACCAAGGAAATGCGTTCACCATAGATCGCCGAAAGTTGACAAAATGTATTACCATGTCTGAGAAACGTATATTACCTGAGGTGCTAGCTAAAGAAGAAATCTGCGTCCCAGTCAATGAAGCTCGAAGCTCTTCGGGCCAAACTCCGTTCGCATCTCTCAGCTCTAGCAGAAACTAAATAACAACATGTGAAAAGGCACCGTAAAGATGACTACATAGTGATTGAATTTCGAGAAGAAATGAGGTCAGTGTAACCACGGAGAGGGTCAGAGAAAAGGAACCGATAGAAATTAGGTGTAATTCAAGACCGCTAAAGCAAGAGTCTGACCTTGCTCACTCGTTTCCCTTTCGCAGCCAGTTGATGCAAAGTTCTCTTGCCATCATCGAGAAGAGTATTCCCTTCCTCGCCAACAAGCCAGAGTCTAAAGAGAAAACTTACAAAACAAAATTCGTAGCACAAACACATTACCTCGCGTCCCCATCACCGAGTCTGAGCTCTGTTTTGCACAACTGCAGTAACTCATCTACGGTGCAGCTTCTCGAAACCTGCAGATGAGAAATATCATACACATCCAACAAATAAGACCACCTAACTTACCTGAGCGCAGGCCCATGGTGAAGTCTGTTGAATGCCGTCGACATCCTTGAGCTTCTTTTTGTCATGACCGAGTAAAAGTATATCCATGGGATACAACTCAAGAGCTTCTTTCCCATCTGGGAAAAATTCGCCACTGAGTCGCTTGCGAGTAAATTGGCCATCAACCTTCAAACAAACAATATTGCTTGCTGCCAGCAGCCTTAGGCCATATGAACTTACCGATTGTGCACTCCCATGCCACCTTAACCATGCTCTCCAAAGAGCAGGAGGGACAGCAATATAATCTTTGGGGGTCAGATCCGCCTTGAGGTTCGCTGACTCCAGTGACAAACAAGCTACCTGAACAAAGCATCATAACATGCCAACGTTTGAACGACTCATGCAAAGAGCACAGAACGTCAAGAGGCACCTTCCCAACCTTTCCGCTCCATCCATCGTCGGCCTTGGTCCCTTTGATGGAAGAATTATCAACAGGAGGCGGGCTTTTGCCTTCTGCAGCTGCTTTCGCCCATTCGTTATGCCATGCAGATGACACAATGCTCCATTCAGTCAATGGCAAATTCTTTGAGCGTTGTTCAAAGGAACTAAAAAGCATATCAGCAAATAAAAGATTCCCAAGCTCCCAAACAAAAAACGAATTGAAGAAAAAGGGAAAAGAGAACTGGTCTCCAAACTGAGAGACGATAATATACGGCCACAGTCTTCAAACTGAACGAACTTGTGCATAAATATGGAAAAATATTCCGTATTTCCAAAAACTGCCAGAAAAAACTTTACTAAAGTTTGAAATTCCTTACTCACTTTACCAGTGCCAATCCAACTTTATGAGATTCTGGACGTAATCCCAAGCATATGTGTCCGACTTCCATTGCCATGGCATAATGCTCTTTTGCATACTCGTTACCGTTTGCCCATGTGGCAAAGTCGACAGCTGCCGCTTTATCTCCAGCACTTTTCGCGACATTACGATCGTTCGGCGGCTAAAAACATCTTCTTTAAAAGAAAAATGCAGATATGAATGTTATCAAACTTCCAAATACCAAAGTACATATGTATACCATATGTATTGACACAACTAGAGTGTAATACAATAAACAACAATAATAAACAATATCGGTAAGATAAGCAAACTCTTCCGTAATAAAAAAAAATCTTAGAAAAGAAAACAAACAATGCTTTTGAAACTTTCCGCCAGCAACTCACCACTTTCAGATCCTCGTACATCTCGTGCAGCTCAGCATCCGACAGCTTGGCATCACAATCAGCATCCCAAAGCTTGGCCAAAACTACAAAAGATAATGCTGCGCCTATTCCTTTCACAAAAAAAGCAAACACCCACATGAAAGTCGGCTTGGAAATGGCCCACGGCACATTGCCGATAGGCCACAAACTAGCTCACGAAAGTCAATCTGTTCATCACCGTTCTCGTCGAAAACGCGGAATAACCTTGATCATATTTTTTTATAGAGATGAAAAGTGAGTCCATACACTCACTGATCTACAAATTTCTTAGGAAAGCATCCACATAACGCTTCATCCCATCGATCTTTCGAAAGTTTGCACACAGATCTGTCACTGATGGTCGCAAATACTTTTTCTAATTCCATAACTTCTTCGACGGATACTGAACAGATGACTACTAATTCGACACCGAATACCTCAGTAAAATCAAAAAAAAAGATGACTTCAATGAAAAGAACACTTACAATGTGTCACATATGACATCACCTCGTAAAATGATATGTACGAATCGCTCATTGGAATTGTGAGCAATGGTGGTCTCAGTCCCCAAGAAGCAAATTCCTTGCATTCCTCGACAAAATCTAAAGAATATTGATGTGAATGCTTAACTAATCACTTCTTTTATCCTCAGATTCATTGCATTTTGTGATGTAGTTATATGAATCATTCCTCTGTACTTCAATATGTACAGAAGCACAGCTGGAGAATATACCAAGCGAAAAACAGAAAATGCTTTGTTTGCTCTATGAACCATATACCACGATGAATAATGGATTTTGGAAAAGAAAAAGAGAAAGAGAGAAACAACCCATTGTTTGCTAACGCTTGTAACGTGAAACTGGATAGAGGGAGAAAAAATGTCTGTCCATGCACTTGCTGGCGGCTAAAGCTGCAAACTCCCTGTTTGCTTGATAAATAAATTGATGAACTCCTGTGAGCGGAAAAAAGGCTCAAGATTCAGAGAGAAACAAAATGACAATTTCAAAAAGAAACTGAGCGTGGAAGAAATGGAACTTACGTTCCTGAACTTGCTCGATGCGGCATAGTCCTACGAGTGCTGTCAAAAGATTCTCAAATGATAACGTCTCTGAGTTCCTCGAGCAAAACTTGAACAGCTCCCTCTGCTTATCTTCTGGGATGCGCGCACCTCCGAGAACATGGTAGCAGAACTCCTAAAACACGATGAACGCATATAAGATCTAAAAAAGTGATAGCGTGCTATTTTTAGCATTTAACAAGAGAGGAGAGGTCGTCCATAAGTGCACGTAATCATTGAGTGTGCGGCATTCAAAAAGTGCTGTACTACTCACAAAGTGGTACTAACAATGTCAGTCAATATTTGCAGTTCAGATTATTTCGGTCACAGCTGCAAAAAATTGCTCAATCTTCTTCTTTCGGAGGAATTTAGAAAAAAAATGTAAGTAGCGTGCGATAAGCACAATAAAGGGTTGCACTGGGAAATGATTTAACTATGAACAATCGCTCGAAAAACAAGACAAAAGGCAGAGTGTTGATAAATTTATGAAAATGATAGTTAACTCTTACATCGAATGTGATGAAGGGCTTTTTAAATCCTGCAAAAGCGGCATGAAGACGGCGATATTCTTCGTCTGATACTGAAAAAGGTTTAATTTAGAAGAGGTTTATTCAGTGGGATCAATTTGTGACTGTAGGTTCCCATGCACTTCTTTAAAGCTTCCAATGATTTCTGAATTTCTCTGTCTTTTCTTTTGTTCAACTAACTTGATGCAGGAATCAACAACACAAGAATTCCAGTCATTAAAGCTCGCCATATAAAACGGATTTAACCCAATTTCCAAAAGAGGACAATAGATACAACGGAACAATAGCTTACCATAGGCCTTTGCATCCTCTACGCTAATTATTGGGCCATTTGTAGTGGACCCACGCGAGAGTGGATTACCCATCCTGCTCGTGACAGCCTTCCACATTCATATGACAGGTTCTGGAAAAATTCACTTCAGTCATAAGCGCGAGAAAAGACACAAGCGAGCAATGAAGGAGGAAGCTGGGTTGAAGCTGATCAGCCGGCCGATCAGCAAACACGGGACTAATATGTGTGCAGATTCACGTCGTAGCGATAGGACGCGAAATTGCGGAGGGATTTTTATCCTCTCGCAAAAAGTGGGACCATTTTCCAAATGCAGTCCTTTTCGTTTTGGTTTTGCTAAGTCTTCATAGCTCCAGCACTTCACGAATAATCAGTTACTACGCAATTTTGCTGATATTGAGGAAGATTTTGCTAGTTTGTTCGAGTTTCTGACATCCTCTCTTAAGAACCCTTAATTTGCGATCGAATATCGGCTTGGTTGTTGTGGTTAGTGATATCTAGTGCCTTCATACGTTTTTGCTTCACAGCATCAGTTCATGAGATTTCCTCAGTCGTTTTCTCTGCATTGTTGTGGTCGATTTTTGCAATGCATGAACCTTTTTTCAATTCAAAATCTCATCGCCTCCTCAGTGACTTTGAATCGTAAAAGATTATAGGTGCCTTTTGGATGATCACCGTTTCATCGCATTATTTTGATCCCTACATTGTGTTCTTCGAGCTCATGAAAGAAGATGTGTGTGGAGGTATTTTGTATACTTTGCGCCCAAATTTCCTTTGCCAAGGAAACGTCTTGAAATTCGCACTCTGCATTCATTATACTACTTCCATGTTTGTAGCTATAAACGCGTTTCAGGTGACTTCCGATTTGTGCGCGCAGTTTAGCATGTTGGATCACATCCAAATCCGTTGGCGGCGCCGCGTTATGGAGCAAAGCTACGCCGCATTTGCCTCTGGTATAACCTGAGGGCCCCTTGCATTGCGTCGCTTCTAATTGCAGTCGCAGAGGAGCTAGCGCTACCGAGCGAATTGAGCCATTTTCCTCACTCTTCATAGATAAAGAGATCAAAATGTGAATGATAAACGCATTTCAAGGGCAAATATAGAATTTGAAAAGGAAAAGTCGCAAAGCAAGCCAAGAGAAAGTAAGAGATGAGTAAGTTAATTTCTCTTGGAAACTCATGACGGAAAATTCCTATCCTTTTTCTTTACTGATTCTCGTGTTCTACTTCTCTCGAAAATTTTTAAATCAAATCAAGCGCATCATCTCAGATCCAGCCTTTGATTCATCCCTATAAATTTATTTTTTTGATTTTCTTAATCGTCTTCTTTGTTCTCCTTATTGCATCTATACAGTTTCAACATATTAGGTCGCGGTAGTAGGGAATGGCTCACTCCGCTAGCAGGAGCAGCGCTACTCCTGCGCAATTAGAAGCGACGCAACGCAAATGGCCCTCAGGATATACCGCAGGGGAACGCGGCGTAGCTTTGCTCCATAACGCCTGCCCCCCAAATCCGTTCTGGATGGACGTCAGGCATGAGGCAGCAAGGGCTAGCCGCCTTTGCTTCTGGAAGTGCCTGGGGAGCTGCAGACATCCTCGCGCGTATAATCACTCTTCGCACCTTTGATTACTTTACAAGCAAGAGGATCAAACGAAAATCTTCGCGAAAAGTAATTTTACTCTGGATGAATTTGAAACTCTTGCAATTTTAGCCAGTCTCAGCCATAATAAGTTTCAGCTTAGAGAACTATCGGGTTTAGGGCGATCTTCTTTGAAATCCGTGCAGCAGAAAGGAGTAAGTCTGCCATAAAATAAAAGACAAATGCTAACAGTCTTCAAAATCCTTGCCTTCAATTGGAATGACTAAAATGAGAAAGAATTACAAGAATTAGTTCAAGAATCCGACTTGAAGATTTGATAGATCAAGTTATGCGTTCAAACCAACTCAAAAATCATATTTTTATAGTGCCTTTGAAGTTGAATTAGGCTAATCTCTACATTTGCTATGAATTTTAAACATAAAACCTATACTGGTATCTGCCATGCTTGAAAGTTTACGAACAATCGGACATAGGTCATGTCACATGACTAAAGGTGCGAAGATATAATTAGAGGCGCGAGGAAGTCTGAAGGTCCCCAGGTACTTCCATAAGCAGAAGCGGCAAGCCTTTGCTGCCTCCTGCCCGACCGCCGTTCTGGATCCACAAGTAGTAGAACTGTTGAGAGCTTTTTGAAGACTCATTTCTGTCCAGTCTGACTTGATTGAAACTGCACATGGACATCGTTTTAGGCCACGAAGGTAAGCTCTAGCTTTTATAAACGATTATTAGCTTTATGCATATGCTATCCGTTCAAAGAGGCGATGATGATAAAACTTTGATCAGAATAGCAAATGCACATGAATGCGTTGCTCCAAGTTGAACCTGCGATCCTGAGCCTCTGCTTTGCTTTTTTTATTTTTGCAACAAATAGTGTCAAATTTGTGGACCCTTCCATTTATCTGATTTTAGAATGGCGAGGATAGCACAAACCAGCAGTGTGGCTCCATGTGGTAAACGAAGGACATGTAACGGGACACTTATGAAATTCTTCACTTTCAATTGTGCATTGCATGTCACATTGTCTGCATATTATCGATTATTTCAAACAGAGTATTATGAAAGTGAACTCAAATTAACAGTGTTACCGCTCTTTCTAGCAGTTTTTCCCCAATTTTTATTTCATCTTGTCCGGTACGGACCGTGTCAATCATGTGCTTCCTTTTCTGTAAGTGCAATGAGCTTCGCGCCGCGTTCGCGCGCGTATGGCTTGGCATTCAAATTAGCCTCATCGATTGGGGGTCCGCACGCAGGGCCCTTGCGTTGAGCATGCGTAATTCCCCTGCGAAAGGTCCGGGCCAGACTTCGCTCAAAAACGCCAAAAAGCGCCCAGATTTCTATAATGTCTCTTCACTTTCTCGTGTGAGGAGAGATAGAGAGAAAAGAGAGGTTAGAGCAATTTGGGCGCTTTCGAGCGAAGTCGGGCCGGGCCAAAGGGAGAATTGACATTGACTCTATCTATAACTAGCGCGCCGTTTATTCCGCCAACGAAGTTTGCTGTATAAATGCTCAATCTTGATACTTTTCGATTTTCACTAACAATTTACATTTATTCATTTACTTGTATTGGTTTGATGATTACCGAACCATTGTTTCTATTTCTTCAGCATCTCAACACTCGCGTTTTTTCTGTCTAGGAAAGGAAAGTAATTCACTGTTACTTGCATAACGGTGTCTTGGATTGGCGATTCTTACTATCTCAAGCTCTCATGATCTCATACACGTGATGTTCCGTTATTCATTGGGCTGTGACCGCGCACGAGTTATGGTAATTTTGTTTTGGCAGCACCCATATTCTGCGCCTAGAGTTCGTACCTTTCGTACATTTCAAAAGTGAGGGGTAGATCAATTTTCACCATTAAAACATATCAAATGTCCTTGAAACTGTAACGTGCATCTTTACTGATCAAATACTATCTTGAAACATCGCTTCTTCCCTCGTTTGCAGCTTTTCTAACTGTTACTTCCTCATCATTTCTCTTTGACGTAATATTTGCGATCTTTTTCTCGTCGAATTGGATCTTTTTGTACGGCCTTTGTGACCTTGCAGTTCGAGTTTTTTTTTTGTGATTCAGGTAATTTCGCCTTAGCCTGTCATAATGACCTTTTTTCATTTCATCAACTGTGTAGCACTAGCCTATGCTCCATATTTCATCGCATATAAGTATTCAGGTAAGTTCTGTCCGTACCTTGATCTTTACAATTGAGTTTCATCTCTTTTCCTTAGGTCTGAATGAGTACAGTTCATTTTGGCGATGTGCGCAAGCCAGTGGTGGATATTTTCTGACCCAGCTCATCAAGCTGTTATTGTTAGCGACATTTTTCCCAGCTGCAGACGCTGAAGGGTTCAGTGTGTTGCCGGTCTGTTTTTTCTTTCATAGTTTTGTGATTTTCTCTTTTTTTGAAATTATATTATTCAAGGAATTGCTAAAAAGCAGTGCTGATGTCGTAGATGTTATTGGCATGCATATAGTGATGACACATCTGTTGAATGGCAAAGGAGAGGTCTGTCTAAAGTCAAGTTCTTTATCGCAAGTTGCACTCATCTATTGATTCTTTTAATCTATTTCATATCTATCTGTCGCTCCCATTATCTGTTTCCCGTAATTTCTTGAATTTGCAGAAAAATTTGATATTTTTTATATTTTTCTTTCTGTTGACCAATCTTTACTTTATAGAAATGTACCTTCGCATTATGTTTTCAGGTTCGATTCTTGGCTGGAGGCCTCGGATGGGGTGCAGCACATTCAGTGGCAAGTAGTTTCATCCTTTTCTGGGTTGGAGCTAGGTAAATATGCGTTATTTTCACACTTTTGGATACTTGCACATTAGAGTTGAAAATTGCCATTTTTTCTTTGTTCGAAATTTAGAGCGTCCGCGTTTTCCTGGCGATGGATCCAGATGGCTCTGGATTCCTCTTTTGATCTCGTATTGTTTGTGGCAATGGCAGCGTTGACATGGATGGCAACTAGAGCAGCCAGCAGACACCTAGTGTTCATACTTCTCACTGCTTGCGTATTCCACTCCTTTGTTTACCAGTGAGTTCAAAAAATCGCTTCTGAATTGAGCATAAATCAATATATCGGGTTTTTTTTTGCAAAACTCCGATTTTAGAGTGCTATTCTCGGTGTTCGGTGTCCGTGGTTGGCTGATGGTCCTAGCTCGGTTTGCCTACTCAACTGCTATTGCATGTGGAACGTTCATTGCTTATGCTGTAAACAGCAATGTTCCTCAAAAAAGGGATTGAGTTGAAAATGTAGTAGTTAGCAAATTGTTTCCTTTTTCAAGGCTTGTTGTGAATGTGCTTAATAAGACTATTTTACTTAATAAATTGTTCATATACTTTCTGTCATTTGTATGAGGTCGCAAACCCGACAGTATTAAAATCCAGCATACTTTTCGAAAAATGACTCCATTAGCTGCATTATTGTGGTCTTTACTAGAATGGATGCGGATATACCGTTGATTCCATCACAACCTGTAGAAGAATATGTGATACCTGATGGTTCACTTGTTGGTCCGGGAGATGGAGTGGAAATCGTGCCATCAAGTGAATTCGTCACACCGCTGTCGCCTACAAAGCGATTTGGGTAAGTTACTTCCTGCCTGCTTGGAGTATGCGTGGCTACTTTAAATTGATTTGAGTTAAATATTTCTGCGTATTATACTTTGAAAAGTAGCTCTTCTGACACAACAGAATTCACATTCTTTTGCGTGAGTGTTTCCTTCTTCCCCTTTCCGTTCTACTCATTTTTTTTGAGAATTGCGGATTCGCTTTACTTTTCACTTCATGTTGTTTTATTGATTCCCTTCCTTCGATAATCATATAGGCATCTCTTACATTAGTTGTGTTTATCGATCACTCTGGTCTACTTTTGTCTATGAAAAGCCACAAATCTTCAGAAAGAAACAAACAGTATGAGCTTCTGGCTGATAGAGATAACTTTGATGTGTCGGGAGGTTTTTCTCACTAAAATTTGCTCACTTGCACATGATATATGAGATTTTTTTCCTTACTCCATAATTGCAGTGGCAAAACAAGATCACATCTCTGTGCTTTTCTTATCTCTTTCACTGCGTTATTATATTAGAATTAATAAAATACCTTCACTGTCATTTACAATACAACTTCTACATTTTTGCTATTTTGATATTCTCTTCTATTTTTGTCTCTCTATTCTATCTCATGTAAGTTGCAATGTTTCAATAGTTACTCGCTTCCTGAAGTACGGTTGCTGTTCTCAGAACAGCGCTGTACATACAAATATATTGTGTTTCTATGTTTCTGACGGAAATAACAGAAACACAACAGATTCATCACTGCCAAATATATAGCACCTGAGAAATCTTGTTTTGTATGTCTGTCAGATTTCTATGAAAATCTTTTCTTCCCAGTGGTAGTGAGAATGATAGACTGGTGAATATTCGATCGCACATTGTGAGTATTCGATCACGATTTTTTGTTGAGTATAGGTTTCGTGACCACCAATACTAATATAAGTTAATGTGATTTTTTCGTCCTGCTGGTCCTTGGCGTTCCCACAATGTCGACATATATTCTTTTCAAAAGGAAATCGGTTTGATTTTCGCATGCAGTTCGAGAATTTCACGTCTTTTGTCCAATGGTTGAGTCAAGTTATCATTCACTCTGAGAATCGGAGACAAGTAAGCTTTGTACACATTCTTCACACAAGATTGAACCTGTGGTTATCGAGGTCATACCCTATATTGGAATCAGAAAAAAAATTGAGCATGTTTAAACAATGTGTGCAAATCGTTTACGAGTCTCCTAATCTCATTGTCAGAATACATGAGTATCATTCCCGTGTAGTAAGCTTTTTTACTAGAAAATTTGTTCCCTTGGCAACTTTTTTGTTGGCAAATTTATTTTCCTTACACATCATGCTTATAACTTGTCTTTCTCAAATTCTATGTGCTGAAGCGAAGTAACTCGGTGCTTTCTGTCATTTTACTGATGTGGTGTGCAAAAAATTTTTCTATTGGAATTAATAAGGTTTGTGTTATGTCTTTCAAGAAAACCACATCTAAATGAATGAAAATTGAAATTTGCAATGAAAATGAGGATATGGTCTGAGCACATAGAAAAGGTCATTCTCATCTTTTCTAGTAGCAGTTATGTACTTTTCGAGAAAAGAGTTCTCCAAAAGAAACTGTATACTCGAATTTTTTTCAGTTTGCGTTGTTCAATTATTTATCTTCTATTGTACAATACTTGACGCTTGAAGCATGCTGAAGCTTGAAGAGTACAGAAAAAAATCAAAATCAATTCGTCTAATTTTCCATTTGATTGTTGGAGTATTAGGTTGTCTCGAAAGTTCTGCCGTTTCATTTTTGAAAATTTGTCAGTTCTCGCTAACTCTACGAATTTGCATCTTTTTAATTCTGTTAGAAAAAAATGGTTTCTTTTGTAAATATACCATGATGAGCTTCTACTATGCTATATCATGATGAGCTTCTACTACGAGATAAAAAAAAGAAGATCGTTCAGCTTTTGATCATTTTGAGTTGGGTCGTCAAATAACTGGAACGTTGCTTGTTGCAGAAAAATCCGAAACTGTCAGTATAGGTATTTTGACTCGCTCTTTGCAACCGAAAAAATTTGTGCAGTTTGGGCGTTTCTGCGTAAAGCTAGAGTTTCGAATTTACAAAAGAGAATGACGAATTTGACTAATTTGTCACTTTTCTCGAAAAATATTACTTTTTACAGCGACGTTCAAACAGCACAATTCTTTCTTAGTTGCAAAGAGTAACCCATAAAACTTATGTACTGACGATTTCATTTTTCTGCAGCGTTCCATTTCAGCAGCCTGGCTCAAAATGATCGAAGCCTGTTTTTCTTTGCTAACTTCTATTTCTGCAATGAGTGCATAGTAAAGCTTCTCAATGTATATTCACAGGGAGAAAGACTTTCTTTATCAATAAAATTACTAAGCAAATCCCTTGAAATAGCCAAAAGTTACAAATTTTCAAAAATGAAATGTCAGAATTTTCGCGACTACCTACTATCAATAGTAAAGCATTCTTCAAAATGTTGACAAATTGTCATGTTTTGATGACCTGACTGATGTCTCTGGGCTGCACAAATCATTTCGTTGACGAAAGAAAGCTAAGAATTTGAAATGAAATCAACCTTTGACCTTGAAGTTTTGCGGACATTTGTAGACGTGTTCCCTCACATTCGTAAAACTGCGCTTCAATAAACAGTTTTTAAATTCAAAACGGGATGCTCTTATCAGTACTACGGCGATTCAAATCCATGTAGTTTTTTGAAAGCGGGCCAAAACGATATGCTATACGATACGAAGTGCACTTTTTGTTTTTTGGTGTTTTTGGGCGGGTAACCACAAGCTAGCTCTACTAGCGGGGCCTCGACGAGGTCCGTTTGTAGTTTTGAAAAGCCGACACACATCACATGGAATTGGCGCCTATTTTCATGATGATGGAAGTTGTGGGCTACGTTAACAACTTATTGTTAGCTACTTATCAATGATTGGGTACCATTACAAGGAATTTTTCATTTTCCTAGTGCGGCCAACGTTGAAGAAGTTCTAGCAATTTTTTGGACATGTTTGGAAATTCACAGATTTCATTTTCACAGACATTCCATATCATGTACAGATTTTCGATCATTGAATTTCTGTGGGGAAAAGTCTTTCCTATTTTTTGTACATTGTATACTGTAATGCTCTTTGCTTTCTTCACTGTCTAATTTGATTTTTTTTTTAAGAAAATTCTTATTTACAGCACTCGCATAGCTGAAGACGCTATGATCCCGCCAGAATCTCCTGACATGAAATTTGCTCGAGATCGCCTCGGAACACTGCTGACATCGATGCGACATGGTGATACGCCTTGGTTGAATCCAGCTGATAGAAAGCAGAGGTGAAGGACATGAAAATTCGATTTTCGAAATGGTAAAAATTTTTCAAAAATTCCAGCATCACACCTCCAGAACTTCGACGAGGTCCAGGACGCCCGAGAAAAATCCAGAATAAGGACAAACGTGAGTTTTAGTTCTACGGGTTTTTAGTGAATCTAGCATGTTTCTTCTACAGAGATCATCTTGGAATTTAAGTTTTGAAGTTTTGAATTTTCTTATTTTCTATTTTCTTCAACTTGTAACCAATTTAGACACTTTTTCAAAATTTTTCTTCCAAGAAACACCATCTGTATGTTTTGCGCATGTTTCATCTTCTGTCCTACCGTTGACAATTTTTTCTTACTATAAAACCGTGCACTTCCATACCATACATCATATCCGGTTTTCTACCCTGTGTAAATTTCTTAATTTTTTTAAATTGTAATTGTGTAAGTGTGCATCATGCTATCAGTTTTTTTCTTGCTCAATGATATCCTTTAAAAGATAAAATGTATTTCGTGATTTCTCAACGAAAACCTGGTTTTCTCTCGTTTCAGAAGTCGTTTTCGAGCTGCGCGGGAAACCGTTTGGACTGCGAGACGGTCAAACCGATTCAATGTACCAGTTGTGTAGAGCCTGGATGCGCGGTAAAGCTAGTGAACCACCGGAACCGCAGCCGGTTGTACCACCGCCAATTGATACCTCTCTGGTTTGTAACTGGAGAGATCAAGAATGCCGTAGCTAAGATGTGTTTTTAGGATCTCCTTGTGATGAGAGATATCACAGCGTTACCACGTGCTCGGTCTCCTTATCCGGAAGAGTGCGAATGGCCTGATAAGTCCACTATCGATAAGTTCGACGCTACTGTAGATCCACATAATCTGCTAGCCTTGCGACAAGAATATGCTAGACATTGGAAGCAAGTCAAGGCTGGGTGAGTGAAAACGATTTTCAGAACATTATCTCCAAGAAAAAGGTGTTTAGGTGGAAAGCACATACACGGCGACGAGCTCAGCGCTACCATAGAAGCATACGACTATTAGAAACGGTCTATCAAATCAACCAAGAAAGCACAGGGTAAAGTTAGAAAACTAAGCATCTCCCTGTCAAGCACCTGTTAAAATTCTTACCTTGGTATTCAAATCTCAATCTCCTAATATTCACAGCTTTTTCCAAATGTGAGGTATATTTTGTGTATATAAATGCTCATTATTATTTCCTTAGTATTTCAACAAGTTTTTATTGCTTCATTCATGCTTTTATGATGTCTTATGTGTCACCTATGTTTACGATCATGCTGCGAAAGTGTTTTGATAACGCATTTGCGGCAGTGTCATTGTGTGGCCTTGTGGCCTAATGGATAAGGCGTCGGACTTCGGATCCGAAGATTGCAGGTTCGAGTCCTGCCAGGGTCGAGATGTTTTGCGACTGGGGAAATGTTATACGGATTGCGTCTAGATCGATGTTTTATCGGTTTTGAAGTTTTGGCAAGTGAAAACAACACAAAAACTATGAAACAATCTGAGCTGAAGCCCCTTGATTGAAGTAAGAGGGTTTGACTTTCGGGGAAAGTAAAAGAAATTTACCTACTTATTAATTCCTTTATTTTCGCTGATGGGAATTAGGTCTGTCTCTAAAAGCGATTTTTTGGATTTTTTATGGCTTTAATCGCTCGGTTTCATCACAAATGCATTTCTTCTTTTTGTTTGTAATTTGCGGGAGTTCCAGTTGTTTTTTTTTACTACGAGATACAAACTGATTTTGTCATTTGTTATGATCTTGCTCCTATCATATCATGTTTTTTTCTTTACAACTTTTTTTGCTCATGTTTCTTTTGGTTTGCAGATGAAGCTTTCGTTTGCTTACTTTTTCACCAAATTATTATGTTACCCAGTGGATTTGTTGGATGACTGGGATACATTGCAAAGTTTGTGAATATCATCGACACAGAAACCGAAATGTAAATATTGGTTCATGTCAAGTCAGGAAATTTCGAAAAGCAGGTCTAGAAATGCGAGAGTTGGTAGTCGCATTACGCCGGACTGGATCTCGAGTGTGTTGTACCACACACCACAACCATCAACATAGAAAAGAATCCTCGCTTTGTTACATCAATCATCTTACATTTGCTGCTTGTCTGTCATGTTCTGCACATTTGCATGCAAATTTCTGGCTTGGAAATCGCTATTTTTATTTTTTATGGTCTAAACTGGTGTATTACGGTAGCCTAGGGTCATGGTTTGGAGTTGGTGTTAGGGCTCGGCACGAGGTGGGTAGTTGAAAATGCAAAAAAACGAAGTCTTCCTTGACTTTTGCGAATTTTTACGAAGTCCCCCTTGAAACTAGACCATAATCCCTGAAAAAAACTTCAAAAACCGACCAAAAAAGCGTCGACCAAAAAAAAAACGTCGCCAATTTTGAATCTTTTCGGCCACAAAACGAAATCCCTTTGCTTTTTGTCCCAAAAACGACATCCAGCTTGCTTACAGGACACCTGTGCCGAGCTCTAGTTGTGTCCTCCATGATTTTTCGAACAAACCTTATACAGGGTGTTTCAAAAAGTGTGTCTATTGTTTGTTAATTCCCCTGTCATTAAATCTTTCGAGAAGCTTTAGGTACCATTCCGTAGAGTTGGCTCGAACTTACAAGGAGAGGATACCTAGTGACCGTGACTACTCATTATGATCCTTCTATATATAAAACCGAGTGGGATTTTGTCTGTACACTGGTGGCTTGTCTGTACGCTAGTGGATAAGCATGCTTGTTGATGCTGTCTGTAGGTCCTCGATGGTGTTTTCGTGTTTGTCATTTTCCAGCATGGAAGCTTGTTATTACTTCTACCAAATTTATCGATTATTTGTAAATTTTGAACTACGGGGCTGGGAGTTGGCACAAGGGGGTAATCGAACATGCTGATTACGAATATGATAACCATTTTCAAAAATGCCCATTACTTTTATCATTTTATCGATTTTCTGGCAAAGTTCAAGCTACGGGGCTGGGACTTGGCACGGGAGGATAAGCGAACATGCTGGTTACGAATACAATACTGGTTTTTAGAATTATCAGTTATGTTTATCAATTTATCGATTTTTTTGCAAAGTTCAAGCTACGGAACTAGGAGTTGGCACACGGGGGTAATCGAGCATGCTGATTACGAATACAATACTGGTTTTCAGAATTATCATTTATTTTTATCATTTTATCGATTTTTTGGCAAAGTTCAAGCTACGGGCTGGGAGTTGGCACACGGGGGTAACCGAGCATGCTGATTACGAATATGATAACCATTTTCGATAAAGCCCATTACTTTTATCATTTTATCGATTTTTTGGCAAAGTTCAAGCTACGGGCTGGGAGTTGGCACTCGGGGGTAGTCGAGCATGCTGATTACGAATATGATAACTATTTTCAAAAATGCCCATTACTTTTATCATTTTATCGATTTTCTGGCAAAGTTCAAGCTACGGGGTTGGGAGTTTGCACGGGAGGATAAGCGAACATGCTGATTAAGAATACAATACTGGTTTTTAGAATTATCATTTATTTTTATCATTTTATCGATTTATTTGCAAAGTTCAAGCTACGGAACTAGGAGTTGGCACACGGGGGTAATCGAGCATGCTGATTACGAATATGATAACCATTTTCAAAAATGTCCATTACTTTTATCATTTTATCAATTTTTTGGCAAAGTTCAAGCTACGGGGCTGGAAGTTGGCAAGGGAGGGTAAGCGAACATGCTGATTACGAATGCAGTGTTAGTTTTTGGAATTATCAGTTATTTTTATCATTTTATCGATTTTTTGGCAAAGTTCAAGCTACGGGGCTGGGAGTTGGCACACGGGGTTAATCGAGAATGCTGATTACGAATACAGTATTAGTTTTTAGAATTATCATTTATTTTTATCATTTTATCGATTTGTTTGCAAATTTTGGACTACGGGGTTGGGAGTTTGCACGGGAGGATGAGCGGACATGCTGATTACGAATACAATACTGGTTTTTAGAATTATCATTTATTTTTATCATTTTATCGATTTATTTGCAAAGTTCAAGCTACGGAACTAGGAGTTGGCACACGGGGGTAATCGAGCATGCTGATTACGAATATGATAACCATTTTCAAAAATGTCCATTACTTTTATCATTTTATCAATTTTTTGGCAAAGTTCAAGCTACGGGGCTGGGAGTTGGCACAGGAGCACAAGCGAACATGCTGATTACGAATACAATATAGCTTTTAGAATTATCAGTTATTTTTATCATTTTATCGATTTTTTTGCATGGTTCAAGCTACGGGGCTGGGGTTTGGCACACGGGGGTAATCGAGCATGCTGATTACGAATATCATAACCGTTTTCATAAATACCCATTACTTTTATCATTCTATCGATTTTTCTGCAGATTTTGAACTACGTGACTGGGAGTTGGCACACGGGGGTAAGGGAACATGCTGATTACGAATATCATAACATTTCAGAAAATACCCCTTACTGCTATTGGTTTAATTGATTTTTTGCAATGTTTGAACTATGGCGTTGGGGATTGGTACAGGCAGGTAACTGAGCATGCTGCTCACGAGCACATTCTTATTTTACAACTTGTCACTTACCTTCACTGGCTTTATCGATTTTTTGCAAAGTTTAAGCCGGGAACTGGGATTTGACACATGGGAGAAAGCGAGCATGTCGATTACGATTGTAATAAGTGTTCTTAGAAGGACCTATTATTTTTGTCGACTTTTCTATTCTTTGTAAAATTAGAGCTACACGGCTGACATTGCACAAAGTTGTATGTGAGCACGCTCACTGCAAAGATAGTTTTTGAGAAGTTCCATTACTTTTATTTTTCATCTTTTTTTCAAAGCTGAAGCTACGAGGCTCAGATGGCACTAATCCGGGGGTAAGTGAGCATGCTGAGAATTCTATAATCACACTCGGAAATGACGAAGGCGGTAAATTTACCTAAAGTTGTTATAAATTCACTTTGGCCTGCCTTTACCTTTTTGAATCCTACTTCTGCCCCCAAAATCAGAAAAGCACATAGAGCCTGGTTTTGAGGGAAGAAAATGCTTATAAACTGAGGCGGCAAGCAGTGGCGGACCCCCCGAGAATGGGTCGCGAAATTTTTGAAACTTACCTATATGGGTTATAAAAATGTGCAAACGACTTGTTTATTTATGTAAATGATTGAAATAATTTTTAAAATTTTTTTAAAAATTCAAATTAGCTTTATAAAAAAATTTTTTTCGGGGGCCATATTTGGTCTCAGCTTTACAGGGAGGAGTGCCAACCTTCTGCCCCGTGTCAAAAAACTTTAAAATGTCATTTACATGCTTGACAGGTTTTACTAAGAGTTTTCGTTCAATCTGTTTTGTAGTCAATTTCAACCTCGTTTCGATCAAGCATTTCAAAGTGAACATTGTAATAATATCAACGACATACTCTTATCGATGAACAGACTAGACTTGCTCGGAATAGAGAAGTGCGTGAGATGAAATCATTAAGAGGCAAAATAAGCGGCAGCAAGGGACTTCAAGCTTCATTTATAGTCTTTTCTGGCTTAAATCGCATGGCCAAAAGGGTTTGAAGAGAAAAGCATTATTAAATCACTACTGAAAGCAAGCAAGATGATCCAAAATAAATTCATAATTGTTTTGCTTTTATGTAAAAATTAAACAGCTCAAAAGTGACTACAAGTTCTCTTTTACCTCCCCGGAAATGGTTTCGAAAAAAAAATCATGTCAGAATGAACCGAAAAGTGTCAATTTTTTTGTGACACGTGGCAAGGAGGCAGTCCTCGTAGAAACTATAAAAAATTATTCTTAGACTAAAGAAAGTATCACATGGGAGCCTTTCGAAGAAATGGGTCCGGATAACGGAAAAGTACCGATATTTTCGCTAAGAATTTCTACGAGTCAATATCTAATTATACAGAAATTTCCTTAAATTCACTTCTGTCCCTTCCACTCTGCTAAAACCATACTTCTGCCTCTGAAAGCAGAAAAATGGTCTCTGGGGAAGGAAAGACCCATGAGCTTCATCCGGCAAGGCATTTTTACTGAAACTTTTGGCTCTCAGACTGCAAAAACCACAAAACTCAAAAACCACACATCTGGCCCTAAAAGCAGAAAGACAGGGAGCTTGGTCTCGATGGAAGAAAGAATTATGGCCTCAGGCGGCAAGAGACTTTCGCCAGAAGTTTCTGGGTGTCAATGATTATACAGAACTTGCTTGAAATTTACTTCTGGCCCTTCTACTTTGCAAAAAAAAACC